ACAAAATGGCTCAAGTCACTGTAAGTCCTTCATTTCCACAATCTTGTGGACTGAGCACACTTTTGATAAAATTGAGTTAAATCTCTCTGCATCCATTTTTAAGCTCTCTGTGTGTTTGTTTCCTTGCGGACGAGAAAAGGGGGAGCGCACATTTCCGGGAGGGCGTGTCCTTTTCAAAAATGTAAGAGGTGTTGCTTTGTTGCCTGCCGTTTTCTCCGGTGTGTTAAACATACTTTAGAAAGGAGTTTCCCCAGACTATCAGAAGCCGGAGATCTCTGATTGTCTGGTGGCGAGACTAGTGCCACTTGTCTTGTGTATCAAAGCCATTTCTACCACATTTTCGGTATGGTACCTTTGGAACCAACAGTAACCCTTCAGACATGGTACGTAGACCCTAGTGTTTCCACTGCAAACAGTGCTCTTAAATGTGGGCGGGGTTGTTGTCACTCACTGCTCCGTCCAGCACTCACTGTATTTCCTCATTACCGTTGAAACAGATGGAAGTCTGCACCTGGTTTATCGTCGACAGAACGAGGCTGCACGCTGACATTTTCAGAACAAAGTAAAACAGGCTGCAGTGAGAGTCTCTCTCCATTGGATAAATAGTGGGTTTGTGCACTTAGTCCTTCTCAGGCAAGCTCAGGGTTTAAGTGTTGCTGGAGCCCACAGGAACAACGCTCTGTGATGCTTTTTTTTTGTCTCCAAGTGAGGATTAGAATATATGCAGTTCATATAATCTGGTCAAAAATAATAAATATGAGCACTTGAAGATCCACTCATTACTAAAAGTGTATGTCATATAAAAACTAAAGTGATGGTCAAAGTTGTCACAGTGAAATTTAAGGTGTTGACTGATGAATGTCATCACCTCATGCACTGAGTGACATTACAATTACAATGTTCTACCTTCAAAGTCACCAGCAGTCGGCCCAGTGAATTAAGTTATTTTTTCTCAGACTCCAGCTGCTGCAAGAGCCAGCAAAACATCCTTTCATTTCATAGTTACAGAAAATGGACAATTGACAGAAAGATTCCACTGGTACCATCCACAACTTTTCAAAAGCATACTGAACTGTACTGTAATGTACTGCTCGGTGGAAACGGGGCTTACCAGGCTATATAGAAACAGCAAAGATTCTGACTTAACGCCTGCTCCTGATTAGGCAAGATTCACACCCAGTCTTAGTGAAAAAAGAAGACCGAAGCCTAGATGGTGCAACCAGAGCAACTATTAGGGCGGATTTAGAATGCCAGGTTACCACTGACTCGGGCTAAGAACAGGCATAAGCCCTGTCTGTGCAGCCAGCCCTGAATATTTTTCTCAGAACAAGGCTAAAATGACAAATATTTGACTTCTATTGAATTCTAATGCTGCTCCATGTCGACTGGAAGTATACATAGGCCAAATCCAATAATAGCTATATAAGCAAAACCAGTTTTATGAGGCAATAATGGCCAAAAATGGAAATTAACACAGCTTTAAAAATATATGAGCTTAAGGTTTGAAGGGGTGGTCTTGGTTTAATGCTACAACCTCTGAGACGTGAAGCTTTCAAGTTAAATCAGTCTCCTGTGCTCTGGCAATCAAAGAGCGTGACACACACCCACAGCTTCTCTGCCCTTAGATAGTTTATGCACAACATTTATGGCTATCTCATGGGATGAATCAACGTGTCACCTTGGGTTCTTCCAGAGAGGTGCGGGAAACTACTGATCAAACACACTCTGACAGATGACGAAAAGCAGAAGAGTTTTGCTAATTGGTCGCAAAGCTGACACCTGCAGCATTCAAACAGGCTGAAGTATAAAGACTGTGAGATGAGTCAGACTTTGACAGGCTTATTTTTCATTGAGTTCAACAATGCTTTAACTCCAGCGAGTGGCTGAATGCACTGACTAGAATGCAGAATTAATCTACTGACTGTCACAAACAAGTGCAAGTAGACAACAGGTTTGACTGAGGAGGATTCTTCTGGGGTATGAGAAATGACACATTGGCCTCTAGTCTGTGAGTCAAAAATAATACATTTCATACACTACAAGCAGGATCTGAGAAGGAACTGTTGGGAGTGTGTGTGTGTGTGTGTGTGTGTGTGTGTGTACTAGGGAGGGTCAGAACAGCATGTTTTTACTCCAACTCCGCAGCTCTGTCTACAGCAGAACAGATGTGATTTGCACACCTGCAGGGCACAGGGGAGCATCATCACCAGTGTCTTTGCATTGTGACCCAGGTGGCTGATGATGTTTTTAGGGGTGGCGGTGTGAAATCCAAAAGGAATCTGGCTTGTAGCAATCAAATGGACTGATGAAAGCAATAGAACAGAAATTGAGTAGCAATGAAATCTCGATTCAAATATCCTAGCTGGTGATGATGTTAGAATGGTTTTGGAAGGAGTGGGCAGAGAGTCAAATAGCTCACAGTCGACTCGCGGCACCCTCTGTAAGCCCTGCACCTGCCACAAATGGCCACTTTGAAGCCGCGCTCCAACAGATACAAGTCCAGGTACTGTGATGTAAAAGCCTTGTTATATAAAATTCGGTATTCCTCATTCTGTTCTGTCTGAGGCATGTTCCATTCAAAGGGAACTCAACTGATTTTTCACATCAGAGTCTGTTTGGTGTTGGGGACTGTGTATTTAAAAAAAACTGTACAAAGCTTTTCTGGTTCCAGAGGGAGCTGTGTGAAATCTGATGTTGCCTCAAGTGATGCGACTTAAGTCAGTGTCTGCTGGGGCTTAAGTTTGAAAATGAAAAAATCTGGGGGTGTCGAGTTAGAAAGAAGTGACGTTACCAGACCTCCATTACTGCTTAAGGCTCAAGGCTACATTAGCTACTACTGCACAACACACTTGTGCTAGGCAAACTACTAAACAGTCAGATCAGCTTGTCCTCACCCTGTGTGTTTGTCAGTACCCAATCCGATGGTCGGGCAGGACGATAACAAACACATGATGGAATTACAATCATCACACAACACAAAATACTAGAATTTATGAACAATTTTAACCACTGACGACAACGACAACAACAACAACACTTAATAGCTGACAGCATCAGGTCATTAATAAAAAAAAAAGAAAAAAAGATCAGATCATTTATCCGTCTTTCTCTGTCTTTTCCATCTCTCTCTTGCAAGCGGATGAACCAAAGCGCCATGTTCTGTCTATAGCCCTTTTTATCCCATGATAGGGCCACGTCAAAGTCCCTTTATTACACCAGCTTTTCTACACAGAACCAAGCAATGCAGGCACGAAGCCATCCCAGTGTGTGACTTTAGACAGCATGCTGGCGTTCCTGAGGCAAAAGAAGCACGATGGGCGTGACATGTAACACGACAGCATCAGCCTCTAGTATGATATATATAATTTGCGTCGGGCAGTGCTGTCTAATCAGTAACAATGGAATAACATGGCAATACAATCATTTACCATCCCTGTTATATGACAGCTGGTCTCATCCTTTGCTCGGAGGGTAAAGAGCTCCTAAAGCTCACTGTCGTTCAAACTTGCAGACAATTTCGGACGCTGTTCTTCTTTTTTGAGTTGCCTGCTAACTGCTGCAGCTGCGCTATAAATCTCCCAGTCGTGGGTCACACACATACTGTAACTCATTGTCAAAACATCACACCCATCCCCTCCTACCGGTTGTCCCTTTCACACAGACGTTGATTTGGCACTGTTACTACCTCTGTTGCCAGCTTAAAAACGAGACAACTTTGTCCCCCCATTTTGCGATTGTCCCTTTCATACAGAACAGCAAGCCAGAATAATGCCGCAACATTCATGACTTGAAAAAGCAATATAAACGCGGCGAATCTCTTCTCCACTCCATTCAATACCAGGGACAGCACCATGCTCTCGGTTGGCCGGAGTGTGTGTGTGTGCATGCGCATGTTAGTGACGCAAGTGTCGCTTATATGCAGGGGATGCCGATGTGAAAGTATAAAGGGGCAAATTGTATTTTATATTAATTTAATACTACTGCTTATAATGATTATACTAATAATGATAATCTAATACATGTGCCAAACATCATCTTGACATTGGCAAAGGTATCGGCTACTGCTGATTGCTGTAACCACCGCTGATCCCTAAAGTCATCATCTATCGGCACAACCGTGCAATGGTTGAGTTGCATTGTGGGTACTATGGGCACCAGATTTAAACAAGGAAAAAGAATGACAATAGGCAGTGTCTAGCTTTGTGTCACTGGTGTTGACCCTTTTCTAACAGTCCATCATTAGTGTGACAGTGTTACAGGAGTGCAATGCTAATTCGGTCTGTTCCTTAAACAGACATTTAAATTTCACAGTGGCCATGAACCTTTGACCACTGTTCAAAACACACCCAGCAGTTTCAATAATGCACGGATGGTGTTGGGGAATGCAAAACCGTCTTCCTTCATTGACTGACTGACTTAAGGTTATCATCTGAAAGCTGTTGCTGTGCCATTGCATAATAGAGCACTACAACTCATTCTGGTCCATGTCTCTTCTGAAAAGATACAAATGGAAGTAGGAAAAAAACAAACACAAAAGCGCCTTTAAATACTTTCATGGCTCTAACTTCATCTGACAAGTGCATAAAAGCACAGCTCTTGACTAAACTCCTAAACTGCAAAGCACATTTCAACTCTTTTTATATTTTCAACAAAAATGGAATCAGGCAAGGTTCACATTAATAAAACAGAAGGCCGTGGCAGCACAACAAGCAACAAAGTAAAGAGATGCTGAGACTAAGTTTGGAGATTAGCAGGCAGCATACACCCGAGCATCTATAATTCATGTGATTGTTTGCGGCTGCGCTGACTGCTCATCTGATTGCTACACTGCTGAGGCCTTGTGCTGATATTTGCATGGAGAGAAAAACATTAGAAAATATCCTTACCCACTTCTGACTGCTGTTCCTTAGCAACAACAGTGTAGGGAGTTTAAAGCAGCATGCTTTATGTGTGTGTTTTGGGAGTGTGCATGTGTGTGTGTCCAGCGGTGTCATACTTACTTATTTTGCATCATGTTCATTATGACCCAGTCTGAGGGGTAGACGTTTTTCCCAATGAGATCTTTAAACATGATAAATGTTTCCATTAGGAAATCCTGCAAGAGAGAGAAAGTTTTCAAAATGAAAACTGTTATTCTTCCCACCTCCAAGATAAGAGCAATCTGAAATGAACTGTTTAGAGTTTGTGGCTTTCAGGCGGAAACAGGTTTTAGATTAGTTTTTAAGGTCAAGGTGACACATATATTTTCCTTTTGCAGGTGGCTCTTGAGACCAATCATCCAGCATGTGCTCACATGTTGTAGTACAATGAGAATACAGCTGGCTTACTTCTCGCAGGGAAACTATTCTTGTGATATTTAGTTAACAAACCGAATGGATAATTATCAGCTATTAAAGCATAACCTGACAACTTGATAACTAGGTTCAGTTATACTACTAATAGATGCTCAGCTCTACCTTCTCTATGGCAACAGGGCTTCAAAGTCTCCCTCCTTAAAGTCATCAACTTTCTTCTTGTTATTTTATTGTCACACCTACAATAGCTTTCTCTTAATGTGAATTTCAGCTAAATACCAAAAACATAAATATGCATGTAAGTCTATTTCTGGCTGTAGATGTTTCACTCCTGGATGAATCCCTGTGCTTTGTGGTGGCGTGTTTAGAGAACAACTGCAAAACAACAAAGTCCTTTGGGCAGCAGCCAGCTCTGAAATGTGGATATGGCCCACGCCAGCTTCAGGAACAATAAATCTGTGGGAAGATCCAGCTTCATCACAGTGATTGTTTATCCTGCTGTGGGAACTAGACAGGCAGCCTCAAACAGGCTCTGTGTAACAATCATGAAGGTCAAAGAGTTCCTTTCATGTTGATTTCATATTACAGTCACCTGAAAGAATATTACTAATGCTTCGATAAAAACATGTAGATAAATAAGTGCTGATTTTTGGACTGAGGAGGATGTCCGCATAGACAAGCTCAATCAAACATCCATAAGTTCAAATAAGTGATTATCTCGTCAATTCTAAAAATCCTCACTGGGACATTGATTCATTTAAAGCGGGTGTGGGCAGAAAACAAAGCAGAATTTAAAAATACACCCTCATCCTGCAGCTCTACCCTCACTGTCCTAAGCCCCTCCCACCAGACGACCACAGGCTCATGCACACACTTCACACAGTAACACAGTGTTTCCCATTTATTGTTTTTTTTTTGTTTGTTTTTTTTGTTTTTTATTTTAGAGAAACTTTGCTGATCTGGCAGGACGTCAGGGCTGTCTTGTCCCTGAGAGCTGGTGTTTGAGCTGGCTGGATTCGGGTTAATGCAGCTGCTGACTGGGGTCAGTCTCAACAGCTGCCTGGCCAAGTGGTCTGTAGCAGCAGGGACTGAGGCAGGGGACACACTGTGATTGGAGGCTCTAGCCAACGTTAGCTACATAAACGTGAACATGAAGCCACAGCCGTGAGCTTTTAGCTGTGGTTAGCGGAAAGCTAGACTAGGAGCAACATCTCTGTCCATCTCTGAAATGCTTTCGTGATACTGACACATATTTCATGTCGTTTATTGTCAGACTCTCTTTTTTAAATAAGTCTTCCTTTTTTGAATTGCTCTGCAGTGTAGCCAGCTGCTGCTAATGCTGGAATAGCAACTTTGGCCCGATCACACAGAAAGTGTTTTACCAGCTGGGGGTGGCTTTCGTAATTGATTTTAATGAGAATGAAGCTTTTTACTCATGGTTTTTGTATTGCGACATGCCTCACATTTCTACTCTCTGAGCGCCTGGCATTTTGGCCGTAGCGCTCTGAACTCCTCGAGTTGAAAAAACTTTAACTAAAAGCGGAAAAACGCCTCACGTCATCTCTTTTTTCGTCATCTTTTTCCCCATTGTCCAATCTGATGATTTGAGAGGCGGGCCTTCTGTGGTGGTCACAACAACAAGTTTACAGTTGGTAAACAATGGAGGAGAAACTGGTGGTAGTGGTTGCTGGATACCCAGAGCTATATGTCCTGATGATAGACAGCAGGTTGTCAAACTGCCCCTGAGTCATCCTAAAATATGCCTGGAAACAGCCACAATGGAGGAGAAGCTCCTGGACCAACTGGTGGTACTCCCCATGATCCACCCTCTTTTTTAGGGTCTCATGTACCCACACAGATCTCTGTTTCCCTGTGCTCAACAAACTATTTACTGACAGCCTCTCACCCTCAACCAGAGCCACAGCAAGTACCCTCTGCCTCAACGTGTCAGGAACTACATACTAATTACTGTCAAATAACTAAAATAATACACAGGAAGGTTAGAATAAGCTGGTGAGTCTGTGGTTGCCTGGCAACAATAAAAAGGCACAGCAAGCTTTTTTTTTTTTTTTTTGCATTCAATTTTTTAAAAAAGGCAGTGTGGCGCGCCTCGCGTTTTGCAGGTTGCAAAATGGTTTGTGTGTGATCAAGGCCGTTCTCTGCATGTTTGTCCCCAGTTGAAACTGGTTTTCATTACGCGAAAGGACGTGCATGCACATCTGCATCTGTAGAACAGCCAATTAGAATGCCGTCTCTCTAAAATGACCTATGATTGGCCAAAGCCTCCTGCCATGGTTTAGATTATCTGAATCCTGAAAACGGAGCCAAGAGGAGGTGCAGAAGTCTAGTGGACACTCAGTCCAGTAGGATAACAATATGCTTAAAGTTTATAATGGGATTTTTGCCCAGTGACACCACAATAAAACTGCCTACCCCAGCACTAATACCCCAAAAAAAGCAGTATGTGAAGTGAGTGAAGCCAGAATCTGTCTACTTGGATTATGAAGCTTTACCTGTAATATAAATCAGATCCTTGTCCTTGCTATGGGGCTCAGAAAGTTGTTTGTTGGGATAAAAGCAAACAGTGGGATTCCCCCACTTGTCAGAGTACAGTAACATAATGCTAATCTGGCAGCAGATACTCCAGAAATACCGCTTTGAGGGAGGAATTATTCAGAGCTGAAATCCATAACATCAATGAGATTTATCCCTCCTCCACAACTTGTTGGCTGCAATGAGTGATCTGCTTCCCTTAGGAGTTACTATCATCAAGAGCATGCTGCGCATGAAGCAGCCTGAGAGCGAGCGCTAACAGAAATTCAATTTCATACATTATTGTGGAGGAAAAACATTTTTGTAACAGCTCTGATCTAACTTTTGATTTCTAGGAAAGACAGAGCAAAATGATACCGAACAAACGGCATGCAATTTAAGTTATTACGTGGCCATGTAGCCTGAAGTGTCTCATCTAATAGACACGGACACACTGGTAGGGTGTACTCACCACCACATCACTCCTTATCTTGCCAAAGGTGTTGATCAGATGAGCATAATGATAGTCGTCCATCTGCCTCAGTGTGGCAGTCATGCTGGCCACGAAGCTCCCCTGGAGAAGAGAAAGAAGTGCGTTCAATTCACAATCAAGTTCAAATTGAAGGCTGAGGATAGAATGACTCCGTGCCTGTGATTTTGATGGATACTGACTCGCTGAGTTGATTGGATCTGAATACTGAAGCTGGCCTGGCCCCCCAGGTTTGAAAAGGTAGGCGCCCTCGCTCAGTGGCTGATCTCATTAACCTGCTGGCCTCCACTCCCCAGCTCTTTGTCTCCACTGATTATAATGCCTGTGAGGTCCCTAAAGTGCTGTCTCTACTTTACAGTGCGCTATCCTGGCTCTGTGTACATGTGCTGCGGAGAGCAGATAAGGGAAGGCAAATGTGTGGTAGGCTGGGTGGAGAGAGGATGTCGCTGTGATGTGTCTGGACAAAGGCCGAGACATACTGGAGAAAAGAAATGGGAATGTATTGACATATTTTGGAGGAGCCCCGTCTGACTATTGCCTGACTAGAATGGATTGAGTGCGTACTGTTTAAAGGGACAGTTGACTCAAAAATCAAAAATACATATTCTTCTCTTACCTGTAGTGCTATCCATTAATCAAACTGTTTGGTTTGAGTTGCCAAGTGTTGAAGATATCAGCCGTAAAGATGTCTTCTCTGAAAAATAATGGAACTAGATGGCACTCAGCTTGTGGTGCTCACAGAACCATTTGAAAAACTCAACAGCAATGTCTCTTTCTAGAAATCATGACCTCGTTACTCAAGATAATCCACAGACCTTGATGCGAGCAGTTTCATGTAGGAACTATTTTCTTTCAACCATGTCACCGTGCAGAAGGAAGTTTGCATCATCTCCTCATGAACAAGGGGCTCGTGGTCTTAACAGTGGAAGATGTAAACATTAATGGTGTCCGTTTTGGCTGACTGTATCGTTAGCTAGCTAAGAAGTGCTACGTGAGTTCTAGGATTGTCATGAGAACCAATACTTCGGTTCCAAGTCTATGCCAACACGCAAAAAATACGTCTGTACCTGTTTGTTTTTTTTGGTACCGTAAGTACCGGATACAACTTTGCCCTCAGTGGGCCGTGTCAACTCCTGTTGGAACTGACGGGGGCAGTATATGTGTGTCAGTCTGTGCCGAGGATGAGTGCCGAAGACGAACGCCTGCTCTCCATCTTTGCTAGAAATAATGGCTTCTACAAGTGCTACTGGAGCCACACCACCTCGGCTTGTCTTGTTTGAGGCATATGAAAGTGGAGTAATTATAAACTTGCAAAAACCAGTGTGCAAATGGTGCCTCCGAAGTTTCCAGACTCCAAAGGAGGAAACACTTCAAACCTGGCTAAACACTTAAAAGACAGACACCCTGACTTTTTTAAAGAATTCAAGGTGAGTTTCGATTTACCATCACTTGTGTTATGTTATACTTATCCCGAAATATACATTACATTATTTGAGTTTGAGAGCCAGCTTATTACGTTTATAGGGGCGGCTACTAGTACTCACTAGTGGGCTTAAATACTTCAGAGTTTGAAACAGTTTTAATAAAGTAGTGAATTTAAAAATACACGAGTTCTGTTTTTTGATTTTTATCGTGGTATCGAATGAGTATCGAGAATTGTGGAAATTCACTGGTATTGGTATCGACTACTGAAATTCTGGTATCGTGACAAGCCTAGTGATGTTTGTGGATTATTTTGAGTAACTAGGTCATGATTTCTGGAAAGAGATACTGCTGTTGAGTTCTTCTTTTTTAAGTACCACGACCTGAGTGCCATCTACTTCCATTATAGTGAAGAGAAGGCAGACATCTCTCAGGCCGATATCTCCAACACTCAGCAACTCACATCAAAACAGCTAGATTGATCAAAAACACTACAGGTAAGAGGAAAAATATGTATTTTTGTTTTTTTGTGTGAAGAGACCCTTTAAGGCTGGCAGTTAGGTTGTATGAGAAATTCACAGGAATGGATGACTCAAGTATGGGATTCATACAGAGAATCATGATAATCAGCTACCAAGAGACTCATACTAGAACAAAATAAAAGTAGAAAGACACAGATGGAGATCCCGCTGAAAGTGTATTCACTGGACGAACAAAGATGTACTGCTAATTAAAAATCTAAACAACACATTACAGAATTTGCATAAATACTTTTGAAGAAGAGGAACATACAGTATTGTTATTGGAATACTCCCCGACAGCTTTACCTTAACTAGCTGATCAAAGAAATGCACCAAACATAAGAGAAAGTAATTAAACCTGCTTTGTTACAGGATGCATGAGAGCACATGCAGATGAATAAGTCTATGGTCTGATAAGCATTAAGATGCAGCTAACAAAAACAAAGACCTTTGAGAAACTGATATATCAAAGTAAAGAAAAAGTCCAAAAGGAAAGTTTGCCAATTTGATATCTCTCCAAAGACGTATTTCTTAACTGATTTATTTCAATCTCTGACTGCCTTTACCCAATGACAGATACACAGGAAAATGAGTAATATTTTGACATCTAAATCACTACTGTCCAGCCGCAATTCCTTTTATCTTTAAAAGTCAGTGACACAAGTCGCACCTTTGACCCCATCGTCACATTTGTCACCTATGTGGAGGACTGAAGGGTGAAACTTTGCAGCCTGTGGATGAGGTGGCAGTCTACTTTGAGTTCAAGACACCCAAGGAGGATCCTTTTGAAATTTCATGGTGGTGGAAGGAGCATGTTAAAATGTTTCCTAACCTGGCAGTGACTGAATGTGTTTGCCATCCTGCCTTTGAGTGCAGCCAGAGAAAGAGACTTGTCCTCCGCTGGATTTGTTATTCAAGAATGGAGAACCCAGCTTAATGTGACTGAGTGTAGACTGTGTGTGTTTAATCACGGGTGCGGGTGAGGTCGAGGGACTTTTATTAATGGGTGCGGTTTTGACTTTGGCGTAATGATGGGTAACGGGTCAGCTCTGGTACTGAGCTTTTACAAAGTGAAAAGTTTATCTTTATTCATGTCATCTGTAAAATAAAATTTAAGGAATTAAGGAAAGCAGACGTGTATTTTAAGCAGAAGTGAGATTTTATTACTGAATGCCAACCCCTTTTCCACAAGCAAGTATTACTCCATAACTAATCACCTGAACAAACCCCAGGTTGGAACTTTAATCTGGACAGGGACTACCTCCGTGCATTGAGGACTCTGTTAATGTAGCCCTCATGTGACGGATATAACTCAGCTGCTTCATGGTAGTTAATCCTCACAAGGCATTCTGTTTCGCTGGAGAATCTCTCCTTGAGCTGTAATTAGGCCTGACCCGCCAAAACACAGCAGAGCAGAAACGATGCTGAACACACACACACACACACACACACACACACACACACACTTTTCCCTCACCTGACCCCTCTCTCTAAATCTGTTTTATATTATTTTTTTCCCTGGTGTCCTTGTGGTAATTGTTTGCTTAGTTTTCAGTACAGCAGATGGTATTATCTTTAGACAAAGGTTAATTATTATTGTTAATATGTATGGCAATTACCACATCAGCTCTAACAATAATGTTACATTCATCATTTTATTTCAAATTTATTCCAGCACCCTTTGCACTCTGCACCACTGCACTATTTTCTTACTGTTCACCAAGCTCATTGTTGTTGTTTTTTTGTAAATATATATAATTTTTTTTATATACATTACATGTGTACATTGAAAGAAATAAAGAAATGTTTAAATATATATATTAGGGCTGGACACTGGAGAAGATCACATTATAATATTTTTGACCAAATACCTTGATATGGTTATTGCAACAATATTGTATTCTGACCACAATTAAGTTCTGAAAATTATATAATTTTACTGTAACACAGCCTTTAAAAGATATCAATATCTCACAATACTGATAAAATATTGCCCATAATTATGTAAAAGACACCAAAACAATCACTAATGTCAACCATCTATTATTTATCTTGCCTTCACTTTTTCTTTGTTATGCTACGTGGAGCTGATGACTGCTTCACTTCCCTCTCAGTAATGCTTCAGTGTGACTCATGTTATATTAATATGGAAATGTTTTTCTAAAGCACAGAGGGCAAGACTCTTTCATCTGTGAGGGCATGTAAGCCTCAGTTCTTCAGCATTAAAAGATGGAGAACAAATTTAGACAGAGCCTGATTAGAAAGTACCAAATAGACAAGTGTGTATTGAGTGTGTAAAGAGGCGGGTTCTGTCACACTTCTCTAACATCTTATTCTCTTATCCGCAGAACAAAAGACAGCGTTACTTGATCGCATGCGTATGGAAAACTGATATAGTGGCACTGGTCTCGCTGGGGGGAGATTTGACGTATAGTTCCCTGCCAAGAGCACCATTATTCAAGAACCCGTTTGAGGATGTACAAACCATCTTTCTTCATTCAAACTCTAATTTCCCAGATCCATGCGTCTAACTGGCGGGAGGGGACGGGTGCTGGCTGCTGCAATTCCCCTCACATTGGGCAGTCACTTTATTAATAAAAGGAGCAAGGGCTTCAAAGCAGGCAGCAGTCTTTAGAAGTCATTGGCGCCTGCTGCAGCATCTCCCCTCCCCACGCAGACTTGATCAGCTGGAGGGTATCCCATGCTCGCTCATTCTTTCTCTCTCCTCAGCCGTGAATGAATCCCCAAGAGAAGGAGCCTTCAGAGCAAACTCTACATGCTGTAAGCCTCAAGTGTGGGACTCACCATAAGGCTCCAGCACTGCTTACAGTAGCATAAGCCCCTTCAGCTTATTCCCAACGTTCAATCAAGACTGCCAACAACACAGGCATACATACGCCAATGTTACTATTGATTTTTTGCTGTTATGTGTTGCTCATGAATGAATCTTAAGCCTCCAAACAAATGTAATTGCTGCTACAGGCAGTAGGGTCAGCTGGTAAATCATGATGGCTATAAAATACAGGTTAGGGATCTAGCTGCCATATTCCCCCCTTGACGTGGTCTCAAAGTGAAAGATACAGAGAATCTCTCCCAGAAAAGGGATTCAGACATTTTACTGTGCAGCGATTAAGCTCTAGA